CGGGCCGCCGCCGCCGCCTCTGCGCCTGCGACAGGGCCAACTCCTCCTGCCAGCGCCGGCGGAATTCCTCCAGGCCCTGGTCGTCCATGCTTGACGTTCCCGGGCCTACGCGTCAGCCAGGGGCCGCCAGCTGTTAGCGGACCGTCCATCCGCAGGAAGTGTCCGCCGCTGGCCGGAAACTTTCGGGAATGCGGCTCTTGGGTTCCGGGCGGCCACGCCCCTCCGCTCTGGCATCCCTGGTTTTTGCCACCGTTGCACCAAAGAAGCACTTTTCCTTCATCCAGCAAACCTGCTTTAAATGACTGCTATATACATATTGCAAAGATAGCATTTATTTTTTAAGTACTTTTTTGTATTTTATTATTGTGTGTGTGTGTGTGTGTGTGTGTGTGTGTGTGTAGAGAAAGACTCAGAGGCGTGTCGGTTCTTTCTTTCTGCCATGTGGGTCTCAGGGATCGAACTCAAGTCGTCAGTCTTGGTAGTAAGCACCCCTTTCTGCTGAGCCAGCTCAACTTAAAGTAAACATTCATATCTACACACAACACACCCAAATTCAAGTAAAACGGAGGTAAATATATATTTTAATGTTAATGTCTGAATCTATGGGAAAGGTTATGTAGAAAAATAAGAATTACCAAAGTGATTGACACAGGAAGGGGCCAATTAGTGATTAAGGATAGGCATAAAGTCCTGGGCTCTCTAATGAGATGTCATTTAAGCTAATAATGGCTAATAAAGAGAAAAATCAGCCACAGGAAAACATCAGAGATTTCCAGAACCACACATCTAAAGGCAGTAAGGTGGGGAAGTATCTGTGAAGGAAATTTCTGGAAAGCCCACTTTCCGCTGAATTTTCCACTAAAGGTTGATTAGCTGGTCAGAACTTCAGTGAGTGTGGGGAGGTTGGAATGTTGCAAGTCCATAGCCTAATTATTGTTTGTCTTGGGCTATCACCAACCCTCTTCTTAGCCATTCCTTTCTCACCTCTGGGTCTCGATTGTCAGGTGAAACCTTTCGATATATTAGCTTAGCTCCTATTTTCTCCCAACCCCAGAGATCAGAACGTCATCAGATAGCATCTGAGGCCTTCAACAGAGGTATCCCCACCTTGCTGCAACGTCCTAGCTGATACTTCCAACAATGTATGTTAAATGTGCCTTGATTTTTTTTTACATATTTTCTTTGCTCTTTTCATGAAACCTCTACCGCATTGGAGCATAGAATTTGGGTGACCTAAAGGGTCAGTTTATGTTTTGACAACATGGTGTTAATGTGGACCAGATAACAAGGGCTGGGCATGGTGGGGAGCACACTGAGTCAGCACAAAATGGCTGGCATTGGATGTCCTTGGAACTCAAAAGTAAACAATGACGTCATCTTTCATACAACCGCGTCTGGCAGAGTGCCACTTTTGTATGGGCTCTGTGTTAATACAGCCTGAGTTAGAGGCTTGAACCTTCACAAGTTAGCCTGTGTGTCTGTAGACCTGTGAGTTGGTCTGGAGGCCTGTGTCCTACCTCTGTGTGTGCCTGTGTACCAGTCTGTAGCCTTGCGTGCCAGTTTGTGTGTGGCCTGGGGACACCAGTGTGTCTGCTGGATGCCTGCGGATAACTAACTTGCTAGCTTGCCTGCCACCTGTGCTGGGGGATATTTTGATCGCACTCCGCCACTGTCAAGGGCTGTCAAGACTGTCAATAAAGTTTACCTTGATTCAGAGGGTGAGCTAGTTTTGAGCTGACTAGAACTAGCCGTAGAGGTTTTGGGGTACTCAGGACATATAGAGAGGCACAAGAGGGAGGAGCTTAGAAAGATTCAAGGGCCCTTTTGGATCGAGGAAGGGGAGAGAGAGGAGGTCACTGGTCAGTTCACCACCGCTTCTCTGATCAATCGATTTTTACCCTAATATCTGACTCCCGAGTTTTATTTAATAATCGCTTCGCACCTGTGTACTGGCGGACGAAGTCTCTCATCTGCCCTCCACTCTTCACAGTCTCTCCCCCCAACACACAGCCTCCCGCCACCCTCAGCCTTCCCTGGCCTCAGAAGGCGGTTCTCACACCACAATCACTCCTGCTTGGCTCCAGAATAAGCTATGTCACCCTTTGAGGTAAACATTGTTTTTACGTTGATATGGCATTGGATGTCATCCCCACTTCGATAATGGTGAGAGACAGTGACCCTCACTCCATAATAAGAGCACTGGAAACTTAGCCCTGCTGATTACTGCTTTGCATGGCTGGACGTCTGACTGAATGCAAAGGCTTGAAGCCTGAATGCAAGCAAGCCCCTCCCTCTCCTCCCTCTCCTCCCTCTCCTCCTTCTCCTCCCTCTCCTCCCTCTCCTCCCTCTCCTCATCCTACGTCATCTGGGTCTTACCTTTCCGTCTGTTACTTCCATCATCTTTCTTCAAACAAAAGCCATGGGTGGGTCATGTCTACATTTTACAACCTCCTTATTTTAAAGCGCATCAGGCATGTGGCCTTGCAGGCAAGCTTGGCTGTGAGCAATGTTCTGTTCTAAACGTCCAGTGTGTGGTGGGGTTAGTGAGACTAGCAGGCATTGACGGGGCTCTGGCCTCTGGAGTCTAATGTGTTTGCTCACTTGTAGCGAGACCGACGCTGTCTCGAGGCACCTTTGAAAATGAAACCAGTGGGGGTTGTTTCTTGCAGTAACACCCAGCCCCTTCCCTGGGCTCCTCGAGGACTTCCTCTCACTTTGAGCTGCTGAGAACCCACTAGAAATGTCCCATCTCTCAACTCACAACTTGCCTACTCTTATCCGCGTTCTGGATCCATCATGTCTCCCCTCTGCTCATCCGCCAGCATCACGTATCACAACACATAACACAGTTGTCGGCGACTTTATATTAGCACAATCAGCCAGTGCTGCCTCCATTCCCTTGAAGATAATCGGCTCTCAGACTGGAAGCTGGTAATGGGATGCATGGGAACTCTTTATGGATGAGAAAACCCAAGAATAAAGACTTGAAAAATATGTCCCAAAACACATGACTGGTAATTTGCAGACCCAGGGTTCTACGAGGGTGTTTGTTTGTTTGTTTGTTTGTGGATTCTAGAGGATGCTGACTCAGTTAACCATTAAGTCACCCAGCCCACATCTAAGCCAAGTAGGACAGTGGATGGCTTTCTCTACCACGTTTATTTGTTTTCGCCTGCAGTGAAAACAGCAACAGGGTCATGGAGCTGTAGAGGTCACTCAGAGAGTAAAACACTCATGACTCCTCCAGAGAACTCAGATTCCCAGGACCCATGTCAGGTTGCTCACACCTGCCTGTAACTCCAGCTCCAGGGGATCGAATGCCCTCTGGCCTTCAGGGGCACCTAATGCACTCAGTGGACATAAATGTGCATACACGTATAGAGACACATTTTTAAAAAACACAAGTAAATCCTTTTAAAAAAAAAAAAAGAAGAAGAAGAAGAAGAAGAAGAAGGGGGCTGGAGAGATGACTCAGCGGTTAAGAGCATTGCCTGTTCTTCCAAAGGTCCTGAGTTCAATTCCCAGCAACCACATGGTGGCTCACAACCATCTGTAATGAGGTCTGGTGCCCTCTTCTGGCCCGCAGACATACACATAGACAGAATATTGTATACATAATAAATAAATAAATATTAAAAAAAGAAGAGTAAGTTCCACCAAGCCGATTGGAGGTGGACAGACTGACGGAAAAGGACATTTCACCACACTCTTCTCCAGACGTCTGCTTCTTTCAGCAACTTTACTTCCAAGGATTTATTCTAAGAAAGTCACATCAACAAATAAAAAGAACATCAAGAGGTGTCAATAATAAAGAACATTAGCAACAATCTACCTGGATCAAATAGAAGAAAGATCCAGAATGCCAGCTCCATGAGAACCAGAGGCAGGATCTTTTTAAAAAATATATATTTATTTATTATACAATATTCTGTCTATGTGTATGTCTGCGGGCCAGAAGAGGGCACCAGACCTCATTACAGATGGTTGTGAGCCACCATGTGGTTTGCTGGGAATTGAACTCAGGACCTTTGAAAGAGCAGACAATGCTCTTAACCACTGAGCCTTCTCTCCAGCCCCAGAGGCAAGATCTTATTGCTTCATTTTTGGCACTGGGAACAGCACCTGGGACATGGCAGCTCTGTGGAGTGTGAGAATAATGTGAGCCAAGCAATAGGAAATGCCTGAGTATTACTTTAAGAGAAGAAGATGTAATCCTGACTCTGGAGAGATGGGTCGGTGTTTAAAAGCACTGGCTGCTCTCCCAAAGGACCTGAGTTCAATTCCTGCCACCCACAGCCCAGGGGATACAATACCCTCCTCTGACATGGCAGAGATGAGGCCTGTGAGTCTGTGGGCATCTCTTGGTTTCCTTATTTAGTCAGCAGAATTAAATCATGGGGTCCCCGTCCTAATGGCCTTCATTGTAGCCTCCTCCCTGAAGCCCACCTCAAAACAGCATAGTAGGTTAAGTTTCCACACACATAATACCTACATGGGGATTAAATGTCAACACAGGAAACCTTAGCGTTTGGGGTGGGGGGTGACACTCAAACCATGTCCAAACCATGAAAATACACTGCTATCTCCATTGTGAAGAAAATTTAAGTCATATTTTTCCAGAAAACCTATCTCGAGTCTTTTTTTAAAAAAAGATTTTGTTATTTATTATGTATTCAGCGTTCTGCCTGCATGTATGCCTGCATACCAGAGGAGGGCACCAGATCTCATTAAGGATGGTTGTGAGCCACCATGTGGTTGATGGGAACTGAATTCAAGACCTCTGACAGAGCAGTCAGTGCTCTTAACCTCTGAGCCATCTCTCCAGCCCGTATCTTGAGTCTTTTAAAAATTTATTTTAAAATGTTTTCATACAACATGTTTTGGTCATACTCTTTTCTCTCCCCCAACTTCTCCCAGATCCTCTGCCCCTACACCCCCCACTTCATATTCTCTCTCGAAAAAAAAAAAGCTAATATAAAATCAAAAAAGAGCACAATGCACACACAAACAGAAACGAAATGGAAGGGGCCCGTTTGTGCTGGTCCACTATTCCTGAGTGGGTGGCCTGTCCTGGGGGTGTGGTTGGTACCCGGGGTCACGCCATTGGAGAACATTGGTTTTCCTGTTCCCAGCAGCTATCAGTTGCCAATGGTTTCTG